GATGGGTTGCTGTGTCACGCAGACCCAGTAATAATGTTTATCATTCTTTGGGTAATCAAGGATATGACTAAGAGAACCAAACTGGGATTCTTTTCCATCTCTCCAGTGGTTCAGAAAGTCTGTAGAAGACTCATTCAAGATGAGCTTGGAATTTTATTGTAGGGAATATTGTATCCGTCTCAAGAATCAAAAGCTGAGAAGTGTTCCCTATCATTCAAAAACTGTACAAATACTAAAACCAATCTGAATCAGTGTTTTCCCCATTATGTGGTAGCCTTGCCTAGATATTAGTAAATATTGGGCTAAAATTCTCAGTATCATCTTCAATATGACTTAGCATAAAGATGAACCTCCAAAGGTGTTATGGCCTGTCCTTGATCATCCAAGCTGTAACTAGACAAAAGTGATGTTAAAATATGACCCCAATCTTGTGTTTTCTGCAATACCAGAACTCTGTGGGAGGGCTGTGTTCTTGTAGAGAGCATTGGCAGAGAGAGTTGGCAGGCAGGGCATTTAATTCAGTCTACATCCCCTGTAAATATTTCCACTTCTGTGGTTGTTCCCTCCACTCCAGCCATGCTTTAAGAACTCAGCTGGGAAATATAGATTTAAAACAGTCTGGAGGAAATAAGTGGAAGGTGGAAAATGGTCAGGTATCCTGTTGAGTCACCCCTGCAAGTCCCCCCCTCCCCCGTGTCTTAGCATTAGGAAGAAATCAGGGGACTGGTCAGGTTCTCATGTTTCTATTGTAATGCCTTCCTTCTTCAGTGAGGTGCTGCCAAAAATATAATCACTGATAATGGAAAATCTTTCCAAGTTCCATCAGTCACAAAGTGCTTAAGAGAAGTCCTGGTGGTAGCTGAAATGGACTATGTCTCAGGTTAAAAAAGATTAAGGTCCTATTAGCTTTTTGATCTCCATTAATTTCCTCTGAAGCTATATGTAAATAAATATTATTTGTATTATGATTTGTGATTTGTAGCTGCCTGGGGCAGTCTTAGTCCATTTTAGAATGAATCTATTGAAAACCTATGCCATTTTGGTCCTCCACAAGCTCTTCAGACCAATGGGCAGGGAAGTGCACAACATCAGAGAATCCAGAAGGCATCACTGGTTCTCAAGAGCAGAAGAGCAATGTGCCTCTCTGCTCACAGGCAGCTCCTTATCAACACACATTGTCCACCCACATGCAAAGTGACTTTTGCACTCCACACTCATACTATGATAGAACACCACCATTTGGTTAAGTCAGGTGACAATGTCTGACCAATGGGAGAGCAGGCGGGGTGGCTGGAAGACACACCCATAATTGATTGATTAATTCATTCATTTCTGTTTCAGAAGTGAAATTACATTGGATACAACCAGGCAGTGGGGGCATCTGACCGATTTTTATGAAAGACTCTTAACACCCTCACCCAGAAAGCCATGCTGGTTAAACTGGTTTCAGTTTCTAATTTGCTAAAAGAGATTAATAAGCAAAAGGCTGTAAATACTGGATGGGTGCTACCTGCACTTGAAATGGGGCAGGTCAAGGCCAAATGCCATCTCTCAGGCAGACCTAAACCCATATCACTTCTTCCCAATGGACATAGCTGAGTCTGCTCACCCACTTCATCTCCTCTTCAAAAGAAACCATCACAATTCCCTTTTTCTCTCCTACTACAACTACTGTCAAAAATTAGGCTTGTATATCTGACATTTCTTTCCCTCCCACAGTATTGTATCATCTCAGGATTTTGTCCAGGCTTCCTTTCCATGGAAGTTAAGGAAAGGCCTCAGCCTGCCATGCAATCATCCAGTACCAAGCCTTCCCTTGAGAGGGTGACTCTATGCAGCCATTGCCTCCTACATCAGTTTTTCCACAACACAAACAATCCTTCATTCCCTCTTTGCGAAGCTAAGTATGCAGACTGGGCCCAGGAGTCCAGAGCAGACAGCCACACTAAATGAGGCAAGCTCCTTCACTCACTGCCCCTTTTTGCCTCAGGCGGGGGTGGGGAAAAATTCACTTACACGATTAATCATTTCTTTGCTGGGTCAATGGGAGGTGAGGAGGAGGAAACTCATCATCATCTTTCAGCCTGTCTGTAAAATCATGCAGATTTTTTTTCTACCAAAGCTGCACTCTTATGAAGATACATAAGCAGATATCATCTCTAGGGATTATTAAGAAGGGCACGTCTGGATTGTTCATGGGTGTAACATAACATGTGGTGGTTGTTTTTTTTAACACAAGGACAAGATTAATATCTAGTGAAGTGCCATGGAGCTCTTCTGGAATTCTTGCTTGTCTTCATGCTGAGCAAGGAGCTATACCTCTGTGAGGAGTAAGGAAAGGCAAAAATGGCCCAATCACGCAATGCAGGGCTTAGCCAAGGCATTTTAGGGCACAATCCTATGCATATTTAGACAGAATGGGCACTCAAGATGCAGCTAGACAGCCATCTGTTAGGGATGCTTTAACCTGAAGTCCTGCATTGAGCAGGGGCTTGGACCTGATGGTCCTCTGGCCTCTTCCAACTCTACTTATCTATGATGTGTTGATTCTTAACCCTAAATATACCCCAATATTAAACTATCCATACATGATTCATATTGAGACATAACAAAAGAAATATAAAGGCATACTCTGGATAGCAGCAAATATGCATCTTATCCCTCAAAAATGTTGCCACCAGCAACAGCCTGATGGCCTCTAAGACCCATCAGTAGCAGGAGCGCCCTTTAGAATTGAAGTCAGTCAAAGTCCCCCTCTTATGCCAGGTGGAAAAAAGCCAGCCAGAGGTCAGGTTTGCATATCATGCTAACTCACCCTGGTAATAAGCCACAGGAGTAGAGTTGTTTAGAGAATGGCTCCCAATGCACCCAACAGATGATCGGGCCACCCTTTATCTAGCTTCCCAGGAAACACCATGGCAGGACCAACTTGTCTTCTCTCTCCCCTGCAATTGTGAGCCATGTTTAGACATGTCAAGGCTTTTTCCTCATTATTTTTTGACAGCCATTGGCAGTCCTTCTGAAGTGTCCAAGCAGCACATTGGAGGCCACCATTTAAATAATTGTACTCTAAATTTGCACATTTCTTTTTGTAGATTTAAAAATGTTCTGGGAAACAAAAAAGAATGTTGACTGCTATACTGCTATACACCTGACAAAAAGCACCCATTGGCCTGTCAAAAAACTCTTTTAAAGGGAAGCCAGAATTTTGGCAGTTAGTCAGGAAAAAGAAGTAGGGAGTATTTTTTCACTTTCCGGAGCATCTAGATACCTGGAAGAAAATGCAAAATGTGCATCACCCTGAGGACCATCAGGCCAAAAAAGACAAGCATGAGGATCTCATGCAAAGGGGGTATAAATCCAACCTGTCCCTTTTTGTGAGCAAAATGGGATGCCAGCTCATGACAGCCTCTTGGGCACTTTGAAGGGGCTATCACTAATGGTGTCATGGGTACTATCACCAAGAGTGGCAAGAGGGTCCCCTCACCCACCTTTTCATTCATGTTGTGTTTTCCCCTGGACTCTACCTATGGTGGGTTAGTTCATCTGTTTTGGATAAAACCACAACCCATAGAATAGATGGGTTCTCAGGTTAGCTTGCTTAAGAAAAACAAGTCACCATGGTTAAAGTAGGCTAGGTTAGGACAACACAGCAACAAACCATGTCTACTTTCCCCTGATGTCATCTAAGCCAGGTCAGAGAATAAGGGTCAGGTATTTCAGAAAATCCTGTACATAGGTATTTCCTATGGGCCGCAATACAACTCAAAATAATCCAGCAAACTTGATCATAGCTTCTGAGCAGCAAACAGAAGCTTCATAATAATTCCCTGTATAGGTACAGGTATATGCAATCCAAAGGAGAATCCGCTCCCATTAATTCCTATGGGTCACCATCTAGTATGAAACAGTCCAGTGCAAGCCTTATTGAAGTTGTGAGAACCCATAGGAATTAATGGGAGATAATTCTCCTTTGGCTTGCATAGCAACAAGAGCCCAGCTTTCATTTTTTTCTCCTCTCCAACTCTGTGCCACATGGACTGTTAAGAACTGGCTATAACTTCTGTTTTGTTATTTGTTTATTTACTTATTATTGCTTACTGTGTTTTAATGCAATATGTTGCTAATCAGCTCCAGATAAGCCCATTATGACCCACCTCAGGACAAGGGATTTCTCCAGAGGGCCAGGCCCCCCTCTCAGACCTGGAAATGAAACCCAACTTTCCATCCCAGGCCAATAACACGAGCGGATTAGATGGGTTCTGTTTTGACGGACGCGGTTGAGAGGGACTGATCTAAGGAGGTACTGAAAGGGGGAAGTTTTTAATCTCACCTTCTCTCCTACCCACACATTTCTTTTGTTTTGATTTGTAAACCGAAATCGATTAGGGCCTTTCTGAGAAGATCTGACCCGCCTTTTCCAGCTGTTGCAAAAACGGAGGGACAGAAGAATTCGCATTCTCCCCCCGCCTCCCCCGAAATCATTATCCCGGCGGGACCGAGCGAGCGCGGACACGGCGCGCTACGCTCGGCTTCTTTGACGCCCCTACTTAATCAGCGCGGTGGAGGAGGGACGGCGCTGTCAACTTGTCGCTCGCTCGACGGCTACGCAACAGCCCTCTCTGTTCGGAGTGGGCTGTGGAGAAAATTATCGGATTTTCCTGCGGAAAATCAGCCTCGGTTTGCAGGCAAGGGGAAACCGTCAGAAGAGCAGCTTTTCGCCACCCCAGTCCCATCAAGCGCAACACTGGGGAAAACTGGAGTGCAGAAGGTAAAAAGGCCGTCCATCCACTCGTCTCCGTCTGTCCACGCACTCTTTTAGTGGAGTTATCAGCCTATCAAATCGGTCTTCGTTTCTTCGGCTTCTGCCGCATTTCTCTCGCTCTTTTCCTCAAAAGCTACTTCTGGCACGATCTGATCGGTATCTTTATTCCATGTCACCCCTTAAGGGAGTCGGAGAGAGAGGCAACAGAGAAAGGGTCTTTTTCCGCTGTTCCTCCACGAGTTGACGTCGGAAACGAACTCTGTGCCAAACCTTTTGTTTTGCAACGCGATCTTTGGCTGGCCCGAGGAAAGAAAAATGAAGACTTAAGAAGCTACGGCGCACATGGGGAACAGAGCGCTAACAACCCTGCTCGTTCGGGCCATGGAAATTATAATCATAAATGTCCCGAAGCGCAAGAAATAAAAATTAAAAAGCGTGAGAGGGAGAAAGAGAGACGAGCTCTTGCCAAATTGCTCGACAGCTCCTCTCCCCCATCCAGTTCTTGTGACACGCAGCGGCAAAGTAAGGCAACTGTAACGAAGACACAGCAGAGGAGGAGGAAGAGGAGGAGGTTCGCTGAGCCCTCCCTTCTCCCCGCCCGAGCAGCACCGAGCGCAGGAGGCGCCTGGCCGGAGCGCCAAGGCAGTCTCTTGCGCCCAGCCCGACGGCGGCGATGGTGGCGACAGCGACGGCTCGCTCTTCCCGTCGCGACTAGCCGCGCAGTCGCAGGGCGGCGGAGCGGCGTCCCCCTGGCGGCGGCGGGGAATGCGCAGGCTGTGGCGGCGGGATGGCCTCGGCCGTGTTTGAGGGCACCTCGCTGGTGAACATGTTCGTGCGGGGCTGCTGGGTGAACGGCATCCGGAGGCTGATCATCAACCGGCGCGGGGACGAGGAGGAGTTCTTCGAGATCCGCACCGAGTGGTCGGACCGGAACGTCCTGTACTTGCACCGCAGCTACTCGGATCTGGGCCGCCTCTTCAAGCGCCTGCTCGACTCCTTCCCAGAGGATCGTCCCGAGCTGTCACAGTCCCCCTTGCTGCAAGGTTTGCAGAACGCCTCTCTCTCTCTCTCTCTCTCTCTCTCTCTCTCTCTCTCTCTCTCTC